AACAACGGCTCTGTGTAGTTAATGCTGCTCAATGTGAAAGCACGCAGGTGATGGAGATTTACCGCTGATTACAGAACCGGCTTTCTGACAAGATGCGCGTTAAATATCGCATGCGATTTATCGTGCAGCCCTAGTTTAGATAAGTGTATTAAATGAAACTTTGAGTACTAGTTATGGAATGGAGACTAATACTTCTTGGTTGTTGAAGACATAACCAGTGAGACACATTATTAATTGAATGCTCATGCTACCCTTAACCTACAGGAACTGTTCATTCTGATCTGTATATCTCTTATTGCCGTTGTATTGTTGTTTGCTCTGGTATAATGTGGGTATATATTAGTAGTATATCAATAATAGCAGTATGTCTACAGTATATTAGTACATTTGTGCATTTCAATAATAAATGACTAGGAGTGTGAATCTAGCAGGAAATGTCTCTCTTTGATTTTGATTCCTGAACAGTTGCTTTAACTATCTTGTCAGTGAAAAAAAATTCAATGATGTGAACGATGAGATTATCATTCATTTAAAATATATTTAAAACAATTTCTTTAACAGGTTTGTCACAGACCTTTCACAGTCTTTGTAGAGATTGTAATCAATCCTATAATTGGCCATCATTTTTTTAATTATTCATGACACTGGTATTTTTTTGGGGGAAAAAAACAAAACCGAACCGAATACAGAGAGTAAAATCAAATAATTACTAACACTCCTGAATTACACAAACTTGCAGAACTAATAAACGTTTTTGGGTGACAGTAATAGAGGAGACCATTTATTTATATCTGTATATTTTAACACTGTATATTGACACAATTCGTTTTGTTTGAACTTTCAGGTGAATGGAGTCTCTCTTTGATTTTGATTCCTGAACAGTTGCTTTAACTATCTTGTCAGTGAAAAAAAATTCAATGATGTGAACGATGAGATTATCATTCATTTAAAATATATTTAAAACAATTTCTTTAACAGGTTTGTCACAGACCTTTCACAGTCTTTGTAGAGATTGTAATCAATCCTATAATTGGCCATCATTTTTTTAATTATTCATGACACTGGTATTTTTTTGGGGGAAAAAAACAAAACCGAACCGAATACAGAGAGTAAAATCAAATAATTACTAACACTCCTGAATTACACAAACTTGCAGAACTAATAAACGTTTTTGGGTGACAGTAATAGAGGAGTCCATTCATTTATATCTGTATATTTTAACACTGTATATTGACACAATTCGTTTTGTTTGAACTCTCAGGTGAATGGAACAGAAGCTGATTATGAATATGAAGAAATTACACTTGAACGGGTAAGATTGCTCTGACAGTGACAAGAATTACAGGCTCTTACAGTGTCAGTAAGATTTACAATATATTACACCATGTATAAAAGTATATATGTCATAATATTGTCATTTTTATTGAGTGTCTGAATAAAACTGTATCATAAATTGTACAATGAAAAGAGATGTAAAATGGTCATGCTCAAGGTTTTAAAAAGTCACTGTCAGAAAGAGAATATTAAAGACAGAAAAAAGCTTGAACTATATTATGACAATACATTATTATTACATTTGATTAATAGTAATTTCTACATGGACTTTTTTAACATTTTAAAGTTGTGTATGTTAACATAGTTGTGTTTTTAGTGTGTTTTGTGCTGTTTATTATACTATGTTTACAAATAAACATTGCTGTAAACGTTATTTCATGACACTGAACACATTAATTAACTACTAACTAATGCAAACCATATAAGCCCTTATTAGAAAAAATTTCAGAGTGCTGCACTGAATATATATATATTTGAATCAAGTGTTTCACAGATCAACTGCTTGTAACATTCACATACACACACATTCCTCCTTTGATTTGTTTTGGATTTAATAATGTCATTATGCTTATAGGTCTGTTTTTTTATTTATTTATTTATTTTGGTTGGTTGACATTTTCTCTTTTTTCACCTTTAGGGGAACTCAGGCCTGGGTTTCAGTATTGCAGGCGGTACCGATAACCCCCACATCGGCGAGGACCCAAGCATCTTTATCACAAAGATCATCCCAGGAGGAGCTGCCGCACAAGATGGCAGACTCAGGTCAGAGAATATGTTATTAGATAGTTTCACATCACATTTGTAAATAGCACTTATTTATTTCTGGTTACAAGTTAACAGCATAAGCAGCACAGTTCTGTGTAGCTGAAGTAGCAGAAGTGTAGTTGTTGGTAGTTTTGACTGCTGAACCTATTTTTGCCACATGTAGAGCACTGAATTCAGCAGAAAACATGTTGAAAATGCACTGTAAATTTATCAACAGAATTTTTTGTAATCTGCTAAGAACACAGGATGCTAGCATACAGGACTATGTTCCCTCGGGCAATGTCAGAGCGTGGTACAAGGTTCACACTCAAGAACCTTCAGACTCTCACACTCACTTCTGCACTTAAAGGGTTAGTTCACCAAAAAATGAAATGAGGGTTTTACTTACCCTCGAAGCATCCTAGGTGTATATGACTTTCTTCTTTCAAATGAATCCAGTCGGGAGTTGTATTAAAAATTGTCCTGGCTATTCCAAGCTGTATCATTGCAGTCAGCGGGTGTTGCAGTTGAACAGTCCACAAGTCGTCAAATAAAGCTCGCGCATTCATAATAAAACATGCCGCAGACGGCTCCGGGGGATGAATAAAGGCCCCCTGTAGCGAATCCATGAGTTTTTGTAAGAAAAATATCCATGACCACTGACAGTTCTAGGTTTCAGTATAGCCGGAGGAGTTGGAAACCAACATATTCCTGGGGACAACAGTATTTATATCACCAAAATCATTGAGGGAGGAGCGGCCCACAAAGATGGACGGCTACAGACTGGAGATAAACTTATGGCTGTAAGTAAAACGTTAACTTTTCTATTACCTATATATTTACTAAATAACATTAGAAGCATCATTTTACATTGAAAATTTAGGAAATGACATTTTTTAAGAGCACTTTGTTTAACGAGATGTTACAGAGCTTGAGCAGTTGCCTTTTATTGCTAAATATTCCTCTACAATTTTTTTTAAGCTGTCACTTTCAACCTTTAGTGGAACTGGCAGAGTTGCATATGGCAGAATGCAATTATACAATAGTTCATGTTTAAAGGAATAGTTCACCCAAAAATTAAGCTCATGTTAATCACTGTTACTGAATTGCGACTTAAATTTAGTTGACATTAGGTGAACTGACCTTTAATTAGTCCTATTGTAACCTGACTATATATATATATATATAAGGATCAGTGTTGGGCAAGTTACTTCCAAAATGTAATACATTATATATTACTAGTTAATGTCTTTTGAAAGTAATTAGTTACATTACAATATTACTGTCTCTGAATTGTAATG